GTAGTGTAGAAAATTACATTATCAGGTGTCTAGTAAAAAACATTATCAGTGGTGTAGCAACTACATTATCAGTGGCATAGTAACTACATTATCAGTGGTGTAGTAACTACATTATCAGTGGTTTAGCAACTACATTATCAGTGGTGTAGTAACGAAATTATCAGTGGTGTATTAAACTACATTATCAGTGGTGTAGTAACTACATTATCAGTGGTATAGTAAACTACATTATCAGTGGTGTAGTAACTACATTATCAGTGGTGTAGTAAACTACATTATCAGTGGTGTAGCAACTAAATTATCAGTGGCATAACAACTACATTATCAGTGGCATAGTAAGTACATTATCAGTGGCGTAGTATGTACATTATCAGTGGCATAGTAACTACATTATCAGTGGTGTAGCAACTACATTATCAGTGGTGCCGTAACTACATTATCAGTGGTGTCGTGACTACATTATCAGTGGTATAGTAACTACATTATCAGTGGTGTAGTAAACTACATTAACAGTGGTGTCGTAACTACATTATCAGTGGTGTAGCAACTACATTTTCAGTGGTGTAGTAACGACATTATCAGTGGTGTAGTAAACTACATTATCAGTGGTGTAGTAAACTACATTATCAGTGGTGTAGCAACTACATTATCAGTGGCATAGTAACTACATTATCAGTGGTGTAGTAACTACATTATCAGTGGCGTAGTAACTACATTATCAGTGGCATAGTAACTACATTATCAGTGGTGTAGTAACTACATTATCAGTGGCGTAGTAACTACATTATCAGTGGTGTAGTAAACTACATTATCAGGTGTCTAGTAAAAAACATTATCAGTGGTGTAGCAACTACATTATCAGTGGCATAGTAACTACATTATCAGTGGTGTAGTAACTACATTATCAGTGGTGTAGTAACTACATTATCAGTGGTGTAGTAACTACATTATCAGTGGTGTAGTAAACTACATTATCAGTGGTGTAGTAAACTACATTATCAGTGGTGTAGTAACTACATTATCAGTGGTGTAGTAAACTACATTATCAGTGGTGTAGCAACTACATTATCAGTGGTGTAGTAACTACATTATCAGTGGTGTAGTAACTACATTATCAGTGGTATAGTAACTACATTATCAGTGGTGCAGTAACTACATTATCAGTGTTGTAGTAAACTACATTATCAGTGGTGCAGTCACTACATTATCAGTGGTGTAGTAACTACATTATCAGTGGTGTAGTAACTACATTATCAGTGGTGTAGTAACTACATTATCAGTGGTGTAGTAAACTACATTATCAGTGGTGTAGTAACTACATTATCAGTGGTGTAGCAACTACATTATCAGTGTCATAGTAACTACATTATCAGTGGTGTAGTAACTACATTATCAGTGGTGTAGAAAACTACATTATCAGTGGCGTAACAACTACATTATCAGTGGCATAGTAACTACATTATCAGTGGCGTAGTAATCTACATCATCAGTGGTGTAGTAACTACATTATCAGTGGTATAGTAAACTACATTATCAGTGTTGTAGTAAACTACATTATCAGTGGTGTAGTAACTACATTATCAGTGGTGTAGTAACTACATTATCAGTGGTGTAGTAACGACATTATCAGTGGTGTAGAAACTACATTATCAGTGGTATAGTAAACTACATTATCAGTGGTGTAGTAACTACATTATCAGTGGTGTAGTAAACTACATTATCAGTGGTGTAGCAACTACATTATCAGTGGCATAGCAACTACATTATCAGTGGCGTAGTAACTACATTATCAGTGGTGTAGTAACTACATTATCAGTGGCTATAGTAACTACATTATCAGTGGTGTAGTAACTACATTATCAGTGGTGTAGCAACTACATTATCAGTGGTGTCGTAACTACATTATCAGTGGTGTAGTGACTACATTATCAGTGGTATAGTAACTACATTATCAGTGGTGTAGTAAACTACATTAATCAGTGGTGTAGTAACTACATTATCAGTGGTGTAGTAACTACATTATCAGTGGTGTAGTAACGACATTATCAGTGGTGTAGTAAACTACATTATCAGTGGTGTAGTAAACTACATTATCAGTGGTGTAGCAACTACATTATCAGTGGCATAGTAACTACATTATCAGTGGTGTAGTAAACTACATTATCAGTGGTGTAGTAACTACATTATCAGTGGTGTAGTAACTACATTATCAGTGGCATAGTAACTACATTATCAGTGGTGTAGTAACTACATTATCAGTGGTGTAGTAACTACATTATCAGTGGCGTTGATTATACATTATCAGTGGTGTAGTAACTACATTATCAGTGGTGTAGTAAATTACATTATCAGTGGTGTAGTAACTACATTATCAGTGGTGTAGTAACTACATTATCAGTGGCTGTAGTAACTACATTATCAGTGGTGTAGTAACTACATTATCAGTGGTGTAGTAACTACATTATCAGTGGTGTAGTAAACTACATTATCAGTGGTGTAGTAAACTACATTATCAGTGGTGTAGTAACTACATTATCAGTGGTGTAGTAAACTACATTATCAGTGGTGTAGTAACTACATTATCCGTGATGTGGTAACTACATTATCAGTGGTGTAGTAACTACATTATCAGTGGTGTAGTAACGACATTATCAGTGGTGTAGCAACTACATTATCAGTGGCATAGTAACTACATTATCAGTGGCGTAGTAATCTACATCATCAGTGGTGTAGTAACTACATTATCAGTGGTATAGTAAACTACATTATCAGTGGTGTAGTAACTACATTATCAGTGGTGTAGTAACTACATTATCAGTGGTGTAGTAACTACATTATCAGTGGTGTAGTAACGACATTATCAGTGGTGTAGTAAACTACATTATCAGTGGTGTAGTAAACTACATTATCAGTGGTGTAGCAACTACATTATCAGTGGCATAGTAACTACATTATCAGTGGTGTAGTAACTACATTATCAGTGGTGTAGTAAACTACATTATCAGTGGTGTAGCAACTACATTATCAGTGGCATAGCAACTACATTATCAGTGGCGTAGTAACTACATTATCAGTGGCTGTAGTAACTACATTATCAGTGGCAGTAGTAACTACATTATCAGTGGTGTAGTAACTACATTATCAGTGGTGTAGTAACTACAATTTCAGTGGCGTTGATAGTAACTACATTATCAGTGGTGTAGTAACTACATTATCAGTGGTGTAGTAACTACATTATCAGTGGTGTAGTAACTACATTATCAGTGGTGTAGTAACTACATTATCAGTGGTGTAGTAACTACATTATCAGTGGTGTAGTAACTACATTATCAGTGGTGTAGTAACTACATTATCAGTGGTGTAGTAACTACATTATCAGTGGTGTAGTAACTACATTATCAGTGGTGTAGTAACTACATTATCAGTGGTGTAGTAACTACATTATCAGTGGTGTAGTAACTACATTATCAGTGGTGTAGTAACTACATTATCAGTGGTGTAGTAACTACATTATCAGTGGTGTAGTAACTACATTATCAGTGGTGTAGTAAACTACATTATCAGTGGTGTAGTAACTACATTATCAGTGGTGTAGTAAACTACATTATCAGTGGTGTAGTAAACTACATTATCAGTGGTGTAGCAACTACATTATCAGTGTCATAGTAACTACATTATCAGTGGTGTAGTAACTACATTATCAGTGGCTGTAGAAAACTACATTATCAGTGGCGTAGCAACTACATTATCAGTGGCATAGTAACTACATTATCAGTGGCGTAGTAATCTACATCATCAGTGGTGTAGTAACTACATTATCAGTGGTATAGTAAACTACATTATCAGTGGTGTAGTAACTACATTATCAGTGGTGTAGTAACTACATTATCAGTGGTGTAGTAACTACATTATCAGTGGTGTAGTAACTACATTATCAGTGGTGTAGCAACTACATTATCAGTGGCATAGTAACTACATTATCAGTGTTGTAGTAAACTACATTATCAGTGGTGTAGTAAACTACATTATCAGTGGTGTAGCAACTACATTATCAGTGGCATAGCAACTACATTATCAGTTGCGTAGTAACTACATTATCAGTGGCGTAGTAACTACTTGATCAGTGGCATAGTAACTACATTTTCAGTGGTGTAGTAACTACATTATCAGTGGTGTAGTAAACTACATTATCAGTCGTGTAGTAACTACTTTTTCTGTGGTGTAGTATCTACATTATCAGTGGCTTAGTAACTACATTATCAGTGTCGTAGTAATCTACATTATCAGTGTTGTAGTAAACGACATTATCAGTGGTGTAGAAAACTACATTATCAGTGGTTTAGTAAACTACATTATCAGTGGTGTAGTAAACTACATTATCAGTGGTGTA